GTGTGAGGGGTTCCCTGGATGAGGTAACCTGGGTGGGAAGCCTCACCCTGAGCGGCACCACTGGGCTGGGGTCCTGGACTGACTGCCGAGAGTGTGCTGAGCGGCGGCGCCATTCAGTACAGGGGCTTCCTGACTGTGGACACAATGTGACAGGTATCCCGTTCCTGCTGCGGATTCCTGCCACACTGGACTGTGGAAGTGTAAGCTAAGACAGGGTTTCTCTGTGTATCCCTGGCAGTCCTGGATCTCGCTCTGTAGACCATGCTGGCCTTGAACTCAGAGATCCACCTGCCTCTGCGGGCTGGGATCAAAGGCGTGTGCCACCACCGCCTGGTGCTTCCTTCTTTCTTTTTTTTTTTCTTTTTTTTTTTTTTTTTTGGTTTTTCGAGACAGGGTTTCTCTTGTAGCTTTGCGCCTTTCCTGGGACTCGCTTGGTAGCCCAGGCTGGCCTCGAACTCACAGAGATCCGCCTGGCTCTGCCTCCCGAGTGCTGGGATTAAAGGCGTGCGCCACCACCGCCCGGCACTTCCTTCTTTCTTAAATGTTAGGTATTTGGTCACAGAAATGAGAAAATTAGCTAAATACACCCATTTATATACCGATGGATAACCATTAACTTATGATGTCTAATACCTTGTTTTGATTCTAGCCTGGTTCAGTCCCTCACCACTTTTCTCTTCTTCTCCCTCTCCTCCTTCTCTCTTTTTTTTTTTGAGGGTGGGGTGGGAGATGGGGCAGGTCGTTCGAGGCAGGGTTTCTCTGTGTAACAGCTCTGGCTATCCTGGAACTCACTTTGTAGAACAGGCTGGCCTCTCTTTTTGAGGCAAGTTCCCTAGCCCAGGCTGGTCTTCCACTTGCTATGTAGCCAAGGATGACCTTGAACTCCTTATCTCCCGTCTTCACCTGCCTGGTGCTGGTATCACAGGTGTATGCTGTCACACTCAGTTTACTGTGGTAGTGGGGCTCTAACGCAGGGGTACGTGCATCCAGGGGAACACTCTATAACTGAACAACCCCCCCAAGACCCATGTTCGTGTCCCCATTTTCTCTTGCCTGGATTTTTTTGTTGCTCCTATAGTTGTGAAGATTAAAACCCAGGGCCACATGTGCGTTAGGCAAGTGCTCTTGCTCTGAACTCCATCCCGCCCACGCCTGGATCACTTCTGTGGACGATACTAACTGGCTGCCGTGGTTTCCTCTCAGACACCTTCTAGTTTACCGCCGGCATCCTTTTCCCAAAGTAACAATCCACTCCTCCTCCACCCCGCCCAGGGTTCAAAGACCTCTGTGTACAGTTTCAGCCTAATACAGGAGCAAGCTTCGAATGCGGTTTTGTGCTCTGGTCCTTCTCCCATGCCACTCTGAATGGGATGTTCCTCATCTTAGACAGCTGCTGGTCATTTGCCCCCACTGGTCTGGGTTCTGATCTCTGGAGCAAATTAAAACACTCCCCTCACGCATGTGACAGACATCCCACTACATTCCTGAAGGTGACCTTCACACCTTCTCATCTGGTGTCCCTCCAGTAGCTTGGTGCCATTGGTCATGGTCATCGTTGACACCAAACACTGTCATCCTCCGATCCATCCCAAGGCACCAGGGAATGCTGCCTCTTTGCTCAGTTGCTCTACAACCTGCTAGGCCTTCCTAGCTTCAAAGCAGACGCGCTCGAACCCGGAAGTCAACTCTGACATCTACTTCACTCTTTAAAGTAAATTCTCATGACACCATCGGGCACCTGAAGGAGTGGGCCAAGAAGGGCCCGAAGCTAAACAGCACATGCTCTTCAGCGATGTGCCTGCCGGTTCAGTGGCCCTCATTCCTGCTGGGAGCGACGGGCCACACACACCACACCTCCCCTCAGGCTTCCCTATCAATTGTTCCCTGAAGGCTCTAATTCTAAAGAAGTAACAGGCTTCACATCAGGGACTCAGAGTGGGACACTGGGCCACCTCCCGCACTGTTACCTCCGCCTCTGACACCTGTGGGCACTTAGCTGGCGATTACAAGCAGAAAGTCTTGGCAGTGGCCAGAGACCACACATCCGGAGAATGCATGTATCTAAACACCCTGCCGCCCAGATCCGGCAGAGTGGGCCACAAGCGAGGCTCCGGCTGAACCATCTGCTCAGCACCCTCTTTTGAGACAGGGCCTCACTAGGTAGCCCCAGGTAACCTCAAACTTGCTATCCCCCTGCCTCAGCCTTTGAAGTGCTTAGATTATGGGCAGGTACCACATGTCAGGGTCTTTATTTTCATTAAAATGAAAAAAAAATGCCAATATATATTCTTGTAAGGCCAATTTGGGATTTTGTTGGGCAAATCTGATAGTCTTTACAAGTTGTCCTTACGTGCTTAAAAAAAAAGGATTTCTTTTTAATTATGTGAATATGTGTTTGTCAGTGTGGGTATCCTTGGAGTCCAGACGAGGGTGGTGGATCCCCTGGGGCTGGAGTTACAGGTGATTGGTTGTGAGCCACCCAAGGTGGGTGTGGGGACTTAACCACTGAGCTGTCTTTCCAACCCCCACACATCCGCCCAGTCCAGAGAGAGGTGTCTACCTTCACTCAAGCCTATTCACCACCATCAAATTTGGACACCAGTTCTTTCTGGGAGGATGAGTGGGGGGTGGGAGTGGGGGATAGTGTGTGTGTGTGTGTGTGTGTGTGTGTGTGTGTGTGTGTGTGTGTGTGTGTGTGTGTGTGTGGTGTGAGTGAAGGGTATGTGTGTGGTGTGTGTGTGTGTGTGTGTGTGTGTGTGTGTGTGTGTGTGTGTGATGTGTATATGTGAGAGATATATGTATGTGTGTGTGTGGTGTGTGTGAAGGGTATGTGTGTGTGGTGTGTGTGTGTGTAGGATGTGTGTGTGTGAGCTTGTACCATGGGGCAATACAGGGGTCAGAGGACAACTTTGGGGTCGGTTCTCTCCTTCCGCCTTTACACAAGCTAGAGCATTGAACTCAGGTTGCCAGGCTTGTACAGGAAGTGTCTTTATCTGCTGTCCCGTCTCACTGGCCCGGTCTCCCATACCCTTTCTTGTTCCCGCTGGAATCTGGGAAGAATGGATGGAACTGTAGGAAGTGAGCGCTGCTGGGGGGTTGGAGAGTGCTGGGCTAGCTTTCCTCCATAATGTCGCCATTTACTCTGCCTAAGTCTAGTTATGGAGGATGCTATAGTTTGGTTCTTCAGCATCCGCCAAGATCCACGTAGTATAAGCTTGCTCCCTGGGATGATGTTATTAGGAGGTGGAGCCTAGATGGAGGCTGTTGGGTTGTGTGGTTGGTGGCACCACCCTCCTCCTGACACGAGGTGGGGCCTGCCTTGCCACTAGCCCCTGTGAATGGGTATTCAGTGGAGGAACGGAAAGCTGATTAACAAGGGGGCTGTGAGGATTCTCACCCAAATCCCACAAATCAAGGAAGGACTCAGTAAATGATGCTTTGCCCGGGAAGTGGGGTCTGAAATCACTGCAGTGCCACTAACCGTACCTGAATGATAGGGTGCACAGGTCTGACACGGGTCTGCTGTACCCCTGATGTCCAGACTGGGCCACTGGGCACAGGAAGTGACCCGGCCACAAGTCCAACAGTCTCGGCTCCCGCTCATCCTTTCCATTTCTCCTTTTCTTGTTTCACACTAAGTTTCTCTGTATCCCTGTCTTGCAGGCAGCCTCAATATCTGACTCAAGGCTGACCTTTCCAAGACCATGACCATTGCCCAAACCATGCTGTTCTCACACAGACACCAAGTGTGAGAGACAACCCTTCACTGGTTGCTGCTTCCCTACTCCGCAAAAACCAGAGCAGCCACACTTGGATTTCTTAGCACGGTGAGACCAAAAGGAAACCTCGGAAGGTCACTCCATTGGTTGCATTCGTGTCCTTTGCTTTTCTGGTGTTCTGATTAACACCATGACCAAAAGCAAGATGGGGAGGAAAGGCTTGATTGTCCCAGAGAATCAGGGCTCAAGCAGGAAATGAAGCAGAGACCGTGGAGGTGTGCTGCGGACTGGCTTGCTCCCAGGCTAGCTTCTTATCCAGGTCCCCCTACCAAGTGGATGGCACCGCCCACAGTGGACTGGGCCTTCCTCCATCAATTAGTTATCAAGGAAATGCTGCATGGACAAGTCGAGCCCATAGGCCAGTCTGCTCTGGGCAATTCTTCAGTTGAGGTTTCCTCTTCCCCAGGCGACTAGGTTTGTATCAGGTTGACAACTGAAGTTACATATGACAATTACCTCTAATAATTTTGCAATGACCTGCTCTGGACAGTTCTGAAAGCTGTGTTGCTGAGTTCACTTAGACAAACACAAAGATCAACAACAACAACAGAGTAAACTGTGTCCCCAGCCACAGTGACTTGGTTAAGGCAAATTTAAAACTCACCTGCCAATCATCTGAAATGCCCTTGAGTATTTCATTGAGACACAACTTGATGAGGATATTCTAATAAAGGAATGGACAGCTGGAGGACCACAGGCTGAGCGTGAAAATCATCACCAACACCAAAACTAAAGAGCCGTGGCCCTAATCACATACTTGAAATGAAATACATGTATGGAAACTTGGACTCAGAGGTGTTTCGGTATTCCATGCGTTTGCATGGCTTCGAAGTTTCCAACCTAGGGCTGGAACCATCTGCCAACATCAGATCATTAAAGGGCTCACCATGGTCTCCAAAAGGTTTTTGTGAACGCTTGCCTTAGAAGGAAGGCAAGATTAACATCAAGATGTTTTTGTTTGTTTTGGTTTTTCGAGACAGGGTTTCTCTGTGTAGCTTTTGCGTCTTTCCTGGATCTCATTCTGTAGACCAGGCTGGCCTTGAACTCACAAAGATCCACCTGCCTCTGCCTCCTGAGTGCTGGGATTAAAGGCGTGCGCCACCACCGCCCGGCAACATCAAGATGTTTTAGGGCTGGTAAAGATGGTTCAGCTTGTGAAAGCCCTTGCTGTGCAGACATGAGTCTGATTCCTGGATCCCATGGTAGAAGGAGCAGGGAGGAAGACTCTCAAATATTTTTTTTTTAATTTTTTTTTTATTCATTATGTATACAGTATTCTGCTTGCATGTGTCCCTGCAGGCCAGAAGAGGGCACCAGATCTCATTACAAGTGGTTGTGAGCCACCATGTGGTTGCTGGGAATTGAACTCAGGACCTCTGGAAGAGCAGTCAGTGCTCTTAACCACTGAGCCATCTCTCCAGCCCAAGACTCTCAAATATTGACCTCTGACCCCCACATATGTGCTGTGGCACAGGCACACATATCATACACAGGCACAATTACACTAAATAAAACTGAAAGTTTTGAAAAGATGCTTTATAAATTTATAAGTGTATTAAATAATAATAGTAAATAATTTCCAATCACACACACACAAATATATATATATAATGTCAGATATTATAAATAATAATCACGTTTAGTGACCAGATTCAACCATTAATATGAGTAACACTAATAAGCATTTCAGATATGAATCAACACGTATTTACCTTCATGGGCACACAACAGTAACAGGCAAAAGGAACTGGGCAGCGGGGTGTTCAAACACAGATTTTTAACTAGGGTTGCAAACCGCCAATACACTGACCTCCATCACTGTCTAGGAAGAATTTCAGCCAGGTAATTTAAAGCTGGTGATAAACACAAGCCGAGCTGTTACTGAACACGGTGCTTCAGTTCCAATACCTCATTTTCACATATAAGAAAAAGGAGCCACTGTCCACGCTTTATAACAGACTGATTAGAAGATAGACTGTGGAAACTCCTTTTATAGCCAAATTCTGCAGCCAAATTCTGCAGCCAAAAATCGGATTCGGAGCTTGCATCTTGAAAGCCAGGATCCATTCAGAGTGTTCCAAGAATAGTTCTCAAATTGCTGGAAAGTATCGCTTCCGTACGCTATCTGTACGCTCTCCCCGCAATGGATTTTCAAACCGAGAGGAAGGTTTGAGTCAGCCTTGTAGAAACCAATCAAGTTATTTCTTCCTTCATTTGTTTGTCATAGTCACAAAAATACAATCGACTTATTTCTTTTATAAATGTTCCTTAGGTCCTGCTTCCGGCAGGCACTGGTCCTAGTCATGAGATCCTAACCATAAATGAAACAGATCAAAAATACAGTGTAAGCTGCGTGGGGCCCGGTCAGCTAGAGAAACGCGCAGACTGAAACAAGCTTGCTTTCCTGTTCTTCTTTCACGTGTGGACGTGGTGCGTGCGTGTGTGTGTGTGTGTGTGTGTGTGTGTGTGTGTGTGTGTGTGTGTGCATGCTATGGCCGGAAGACAACCGCAGGGGTTGATCCCGGCTTCCCACCCTGACACAGGGTCTCTGCCATTTATCTGCTGCCTATGCCAGCCCCCGGGATTCTCCTGTCTCTGACCTGCCATGTCGCCTGAGGAGCACTGAGATTCCAGCCATGGTAGCTTTAGGTAGGTCCTGGGAAGCTGTGTTTGTGCAGCACACCCACTGAGTGATCTCCCTCAGCTCTTCCCTTTAAGAATGGCTACTATGTGTCGGTGAGGGCGCGCGTGCCAGGGTGTGTGCCTGCAGGTTTGGGGGCAATTCTGTGGAACTGGGTCTCTCCTTTCACTTTTGTGGGGCTCCAGGGTTGATCTCGGGTCACCAGGCTTGTGCAGCACGCGTCTTTACCCATTGAACCATCTTGCCATCCCCCATTTTTTTTTTTTTTTTTTTTTTTTTTTGGTTTTTCGAGACAGGGTTTCTCTGTGTAGCTTTGCGCCTTTTCCTGGAACTCACTTGGTAGCCCAGGCTGGCCTCGAACTCACAGAGATCCGCCTGCCTCTGCCTCCCAAGTGCTGGGATTAAAGGCGTGCGCCACCACCGCCCGGCTCCATCCCCCATTTTTTAAGGAGAGTCTTACTGTGTAACCCAGGCTAACCTCAAACTTGTGGTCCTCCTGCCGCTGCCTCCCAAGCTTTGGGGTTACAGCTGTGTCCCATCATGATCATTCAGGGCTGTTCTCCTGAAGGTCACTTCCTCACCTTAGGTATCTATGAATGGAAAAAGAACAAAAAAAAAAAAAAAAATAATGAGCACATGGCTGCTCCCAGGTATGGTTGAGGAGAAGGTTTACTGTTGACACGTGGGAGAAGCATAGGCAGAGGAATCTGGAAGAGTCCAGACTGAACCAGAGGATGAGAGAAGGAGTTGGGGAGAAGAGAGAGAGGGGGAGAGAGAGGAACCAGAAGACCAAGAGGCCAAGAGACCATGTAGTCAAAAAGGCTGGGTTATACAGGAAGGAGAAGCTGGGGAAGAAATGAAGCTCCGGGGCTGGAGGGGTTGAGGGTGGGGCGGGGTAAAGTGCTGAGAAGCGCAGGGACTCCAACAGGTATTGGTGCTGCTGAGAGAGACTGGCGGCCGGCCGGCCGGCCGGAGTCCACTTTGGTATGTGAAAGAGGCACCCAGCTACCTGTTTGTCCTGAGTTTGAGAACTAACAACCTCCTTGTTCCTGTTAACAACGCGATTTTCTTTTAGATGTTTCCTGACTCTTTATACAGACTACCTTCGATAGGATCATAAAAACAGCTTATGTGATGTACAAACTGTCCACACAGCTCTGCATCTTATCAAACTCATTTGCATAAGATGTGCAGTTCTATCCCTTTCACTTTCGGTTGGTCCTGAACCTCCCTGAAACGGCTCTCCCTGGCAGCAGAACAAAGATTTTTTGATTCCTTCCGAAAAGGGGAGCAATTTGTCCTTAGCAAGAGCACTCTACAGGGGGCCAGTTAGGCAGTTTATGGTAATCTTTTGACTTCAAAAGGCAAAAGAAGTTTTAGGGTAGACTTACAGCAAGCCTCAAGAGTTCACAGATCAACCAGGGGAACACCAGTAGAGAAAATACTTAAAATCCAGCCAGGTGTGGCGCGCATGTCTGTGATCCCAGCATTTGGGAGGCTGAGGTGGGATTTGTGAGCTCAAGGCCAGTCTGGGCTATCCAAGGAAACCCTGACTCAAAAAGAGGGGAAAAATAAAACACACGGAGACACACGCTTCGAAAGAGGATTCCCGGAGTGTCTTCCAACATCAACGGCTCCATGGCCTTTGCTAGTGCCAGACACGACACTGGACACTGGAAACATGTAGTAATTCTTTTGCTCTTCACAACTCTGTGAGAGGTTTACCATGACTGTGCCCATTTTACAGACAGAAAGAATAAGGTCCAGAAGTTAGGGAGTCTGTCCAGGAGAGGGATGTGGTGAAAGCTGGTGGGGTTGGGCTTTATATCCAGAGAGACACAATTTAGAGTACACTCTCTCCTGTTTGATGGGGTGGGGGTGAGTGGAGGAGAAGGAGTCGCGAGGAAATTAGTGCAAAATTAGGTTAAACGCAGGAGTCGTGGAAAGCTTAGCGCAGGGCTCAGTGGTTATGAGCGCTGGTTGCTTGTCCTGGCTAGGGTCACTATTGCTGTGAAGAAACACCGTGACCAAAAGCAAGCTGGGGAGGACGGGGTTTGTTTGGCTTACACCTCCACATTGTAGACCATCACTGCAGGAAATAGGACAGAACTCAAAGCAGGGCAGGAACCTGGAGGCAGGAGCTGATGCAGCGGCCATGGAGGGGTGCTGCTCACTGGCTTGTTCATCGTGGCTTGCTCAGAACTCCCTTTGTAGACCAGGCTGACCTTGAACTCACAGAGATCCACCTGCCTCTGCCTCCTGAGTGCTGGGATTAAAGGCATGCACCACCACCACCCAGCTCAGCCTGCTTTCTTATAGAACCCAGGACCACCAGCCCAGGGATGGCACCACCCACAATGGGCTGGGCCCTCCTCCATCAATCACTAATGGAGAAAATGCCCTCCAGCCCGGTCTTATGGAGGCATCTTCTCACCTGAGGCTCCCTCCTCTCTGATGACTCTAGCTCTTGTCAAGTTGACATAAAACCAGCCAGCACACTGCTCTTCCAGAGAACCTGGGCAGGATTTCCGGTAACCACATGTTGGCTCACAAACACCTATGGCTCCGGTTCTGGGGGACCCAGCACAGTCTTCTGGTCTCTAGGGAGACTGATACACACGGTGCACAAACGTGCAAGCAGGTAAAACACCCATGCACATAGAGTAAGATAAAACAATGAAATGAAATGAAAGCTGGGAATAACGGTGCGTGAAGTAAGCATATGACAAGAACGCACTTGCCTGTAATAAATCCTGTCCTGGCCTGTGCCTCACCGTCTTCCTGCCTCAGCCTCCCAGTTGCCAGGAGTACAGGTGTGGCACCTGATTTAATTAACTAACTTCATTTGGGGCTGCGATTCTTTTTTTTAAAAAAAGATTTATTTATTATGCATATGGTGTTCTGCCTGCATGTATCCCTGCACATCAGGAGAGGGCACTAGATCTCATTACAGATGGTTGTGAGCCACCATATGGTTGCTGGGAATTGAACTCAGGACCTCTGGAAAAGCAGCCAATGCTCTTCACCTCTGAGCCATCTCTCCAGCCCCCAGGGGCTGTGATTCTTTAGGGTAATTAATCCACCTTGCTCTTTGAGGAGCTTCCTACATGCTGTGGTCCAGCACGACCTGAGGCTGTGTGTGAGTTCGGAGGACTTGCGGCAGGGAGGCCATGGTGAAGGTGCCCTGCACACTGAGGCTTTGGAGGCCCAGCAGGAAACCAGCATGGTAGAGAGTGAAAGCAGGAGGTGGGGGAGAAGGCCATGGGGAGCTTCAAGTTAGAAGCAGCAGGGCAAAGAGGATCAGGAGGAATCCTATATCTCCAGCATGGCAGGCCTGAAGGAAAGGGCAGTTAGAACAGCGTTGTCAAGAGCCCTGCCCCAGCCAGGGACCAAGACCCTGCCCAGAACATCTGCCCTTCTGGCTGCATACTGGTTTATCTTGACTCACGGAGTTGGGTGCTTTCCCATCACCCCGTGACCTGGCTCAGAATCATCTTTTACATCGGAAGTTTGCTTTTTCTGCTTAACATTATTCAGCATCTTCTCTAGCAATCCCATAGCTACTTCTTTTCAAAATGCCAGAGATGCATGAATAAGCTAGGAACCTGGCCCCTGCCCCCAAAAGGATTCTTGGATACAGGATGCCCAAGGGGGATCATTTACAGATAGGATGATGTGAGTTGGAGGCCAGGAACTCTGGGCTACAGAGTGAGTTCCAGGAAAATCTCCAAAGCTACACAGAGAAACCCTGTCACAAACAAACAAACAAACAAACAAACAAAGCCTAGGAAGGGAAATACCAAATACCGGTCGAAGACTGGAGAGGAGGGAGAGGAGGAAAAGCCTGACCCAGACGTGTGTGTAAAATCATTCTTGCTTTCTTTCACTGTGGCAAATAATTGTATGTATTTCATTAACTGGCAAAAGTGAGGCTGAAAACTCAACAGCTTTTAAAAAATACACCACCCCCACCCCTACATGCTAGAGCTCAAACCCAGGTCTTCTCAACCGGTACCCAAGAGCTGTACCCCAGTCCCAAACACCTTATTTCATTTTCCCAGCTTTTTCTTATGGAAAACTACAAACAGATGTAAATGCAGAGAGGGAGTCACACTCCGGTGTGGTGACACCTCCAGACCTGGTTTCCTGGCTCCCAACCTCCCGCTGCTCAGAAAGATCTGTGGTCACCCCTCGAGGACAGTGCTCCGGCTTAGCGGGCATTCACTCCCCTCCCCTCTTCTCCCTTCCTCCCTCTTCCCGGGAAGCCTGAGAACATCAAGGAGGCAGACTTGAGAGAAGGGAAAGGCACCCACAGACAAGCCAGTGGACTGAGCAGAGGGAGAGAGGGAAGGAAGGGGAGGGGAAGGCAGGGGAGGGGAGGGCAGGACAGGGTAGGGCAGGGGAGGGGAGGGCAGGACAGGGGAAGGCAGGGCAGGGGAAGGCAGGGGAGGGGAGAGCAGGGGAGGGGAAGGCAGGGCAGGGGAGGGCAGGGGAGGCTCCTGGTGGCCCAGCCTCTTGGTTGGCAACAGGGTTTAGGGTCTTATAGGTCTTTAGGGCTGGGGTGGCTGGGTAGAATCCCTTGAGGACCGGAATAGGATCAGAGAAAGTGTCTGATCTTTCATCTTTGTGCAAATGCTGCAGGGCTGCAGGGGTGCAGCCTCCGACTCGCCCAGGTGCTAACCTGAGGGGTGCAGGGCTGCACCACATACCAGAGGGGAGCTCGGCATATACTTCAGTGTAGAAAAATGTCCCGTAAAAACACCCAGCTAATAGGGTTTTTCAGCTCCATGATCATCTGATGGGACCATGGCCTACGTGTGGTCCATCATCGCGACATGACAGGTTTCTACCGTTAACTGATCGACTGAGCCCTTGTCTATCAGCAATGCCTCCTCCCCATCTACAGTCACATCCCTCTCACTTCATTTCCTCCAATGTCACATGAAGATGCTTTTCTCTTGTCCCCACTGCCTGGTGCGTCACCTCCCTCCACTTTTCCCTGTTTCGTCTGGTTTGGTTTGGTTTTTTTCGAGACAGGGTCTCACTGTGTAGCTCTGGCTGTCTTGGAATTCACTTTGTAGACCAGGCTGGCCTCGAACTCAGAGATCCACCTGCCTCGACCTCCCGAGTGCCCGGCTCACTTCCCTCCATTTTTCATGGCTGTCCTGCCTCACATGGGTCCTTTCCCTGAAGGACACCTAAGCATTGGCCATCCCCACACGACAGCCTCTCAGCCTCCACCCCAGGGCTCCTCTGCTCGAGGGACGCTTAGGCTTTGACTAGGGCCTTACCTGTGGGAGGCTTTGTGTGCAGGGCAGACTCTCTGCTGATCAGCTGCTCCTCAGGATCCCTGGCATCTGTTTAGGGTGCACGCTGCCATCACGAGAGCTTATTTTTCTGTGCACAGGCTCTTGGGGATCCACACAGGATGGAGGTCAGAAGATGTGTCCAGGAAAACATGGGTCACACGAGATTAACGGAGGAACTCGAGTCTATTAGGAAGCGTCCCCTAAACTAGTGGCTACACACACTGTTCTCCAGGGACGTCACGTTTGACCTGAAAGTTCAAGTTCTTTAGATCCACGGAGGCCCTTCTGTAAATAAGTACCGGCTCCAATTCTGCCACTCGCAACGTGCACCCCAAGTCTCACAGTCACAGGGATGCCTCTGCACCCCCTGCTGAGTTCTGGGGCTTTTCAACACCTAATTGAAAGGCCACTTCCTGCCCATCTAAGCCTCTGTTTCAGCATCACTGCCTGTTGTAAGTGAGCCTTGGGCTACAGCAGTCAGATGGTACAGGACCCTACACAGGCATTCGGGGTGACACTGGACCCCGATGTTGTCTTCTCAGCTAGTTTGGAGGAGTCCAGGAAGCAGACACTGTTTCTCCATCCATACACCATCAGCAATCAACACGGTACGTGTTCGATGACTGACTGACTGATGGAGGAGATAAAGTCCTTTTTATTCCCATCCCTACAGAAACACAAATGTACGGATTCTTCACAGCCATCGCAGTCTGTGTACTACAGTTTGAAATTTTGAGTCCTTGAGAATTAAACTACCCCACTTTACTTTGCTGACAAGAATAAGCCAATCTCTAGTACCGGAAGAGTCTTCGGCCTTGAGTTTCACCTCTGAGAGGGGCCGCCTTTTCACACCACCGACAGACCTGTGCGTCCAAGCCATCAGTTGACTCGCGGCAGAAAACTCCATCGGAGGGTGCGCGCACAGCACGGCGTGGACATCCATCCCTGCCATCCCCGCACTCCGGAGGCAGACAGAGAGCAAGTGTTCCTTAACCCACGCCCAACAAGGGGGAAGAAGGCACCGCCTTTTGCAGGGTGCGCTGGCGCACGCCTTTGATTCCCACCCCACCGGCAGAGGCAGGAGGATCTCGGTGAGTTCAAGGCCTGCCCGGTCTACAGAGTGAGTCTGCGAACAACCAGAGCTACACAGCCAGGACCAGTCTCCAAAAGACAAAAAAAAAGAAAAGAAAGGCATGTTTTACCCCATGGTCACCTTTTACTCCGAATTCTTAGAGTTAAAAATGCGAAAAGGGAGACCTTGAAACTGTCTGTCCCCCACCCCCACCCCCACCTTACAACAGTACTAAATTAAGTCCTCCTCGGCTTTGCTTTGATCCCTTTTCTAAAAGCATTCTGGTTCCTCCTCCACTTTCTTTCATTCTGACAATTAGGGAGTTTCCTAAGCATAGCTAGGAAAAAAAAGGCTTTTTTTTTTTTCCTCACATTTCTCTAAGTTCACCCTTCCCTGCACTTTTCTTTTTCTTTTAGTTTTTTGGGGTGTAGGGATTTTTGGTTTTTTTATGAACTTTGGGCTTTGAACCTTTTTTTTTTTTTTTTTTTTTTTTAAGGTTTCTCACAGAGATCCGCCTGCCTCTGCCTCCCGAGTGCTGGGTCTAATAATTACTACTGATAAATAATATAGAAAATAAATCATGTAAGATAATAAGTAATAGGTTTTCTGCCCTCCCCCCCAATAGTAAGTTTCTCCACTGATGAAGTAAACCAGAGTAAGCCAGATCAAGCTGAACCGAAAAAGCATAACAAAAGATATATTGAGCAAAGCAACTCCTAGTCAGGTTCTCTGGTGCCAGAGAGACGGAGGCCAGAGAAGTCAGTCACACACCTGAACCAAAGCAGGCGGATGTCACAGGCTGTCGTGAGAGGTGAGGACGTGTCTGCCACAAGCCAGGTTTGTGCCCCAGCATGGCCAAAAGCTGAGTGCTTAGGCAGGGACCTGGGTGGCCTGCAGCAGCAGGACAACAGCTTGTGAGAATTCGGGACTGGGATTTTGGTGCCTTTCCTTTGTTTGGAGACTCTCTGAGCAGGGCCGGGTCTGGAGAGAGAGGGGATGGGGCTTCCAGGACCGTGCAAGGGTGAGCCAGAGGTCCCACCCGAACGGTAAGTATTAGTCGGTCACCACACCTGGCCTGAATAAGTCATTTGTGTGTGTGTTGCAGGGATTGAACTCAGGCCATCAGGCATGCATGGCCATGTAAGAGCTCTTCCACAGTGAGTCATTTCACGGGCACAGTGGCAATATTTTAAATGTATATAATGCTGGGTGTGGTGACGCACACCTTTAATCCCAGCACTCAGGAGGTGGAGGCAGGTGGATTTCTATGAGTTCGAGGCCATCGTGACTACATAGTAAGTGGCAGGACAGCCAGTGCTACACATAGAGACTCTTGCCTCAAAAAGAAACAAAAAAAGTATAAAATCGGCTGCTGTACTGAAGGCCTGTTCTCTTGCATCGAATCTAAGGCCTCTCAGGACGTGTGTGCGGCAGAGCTGTGCATGCCTGTACTCCGTGCACACTGGAGGCTGAAGCAGAAGGATGGAAGTTCCAGGCTAGATTGGGCCATAACCCAAGACTAGGTCTCAAACAAACAAAACAAACCCCAGGAAGTAGATACTGTCTTCATTGGCTAAGTATCTTGATCATGGCCTTCTGAGGTCACCTACCCCTCCCACATCCTTCGCTCCCCCCACCCAGCTTCGGGCTCAATCCCAGCCCCTGGGCGTGCTTGCAAACGCTCTGCTTCTGAAGCACACCCTCACTCCTCTATTTCCAGTTTTTGCCTTCATTTATTGCAGTGGTTCTCGACCTGTGGGTTGCGACTCCTGGGGTCAAACAACCCTTTCACAGGGGATATTTACATTATGATTCATAGCAGTAGCAAAATGACAGTTATGAAATAGCAACGAAGTAATTTTATGATTGGGGGTCACCACAACATGAGGAACTGCATTAAAGGGTCACAGCATTAGGAAGGTTGAGAACCACAGACTTAGAGGCTAATAATAGTCTATTTCAATCCTCAGACTTCTGTCACCAAATGCCAACCTTTTTTGGGCTTGTTGTCCAGGCTAGCTCCGAACTTGCCAGGTAGCTGAGGCTGGCCTTGAACTCCTGAACTTCCTGCCTCTACCTCCCAAGTGCTGAAATTACAGGCATATACCATGACCAGTTATTCTGTCTGTCTGTGTTCCTTCCTTCCTTCCTTCCTTCCTTCCTTCCTTCCTTCCTTCCTTCCTTCCTTCCTTTTTCCTTCTTCCAGAGCTGGGAGTTGAACCTAGGCAAACATTCCACCATTGAGCTATATCCCCAGCCCTAAAAAACATAAGCAAACACTTTCTTTTTTTGTAAAATGATCTACTTGTCAAGGTCACCTGTGCATCCTACTCGCACCCAGAATCCCCAGGACGGGACTCAAATGACACCAAGTTTGAACAACTACCTGTACCACACACCCTCCCTCTACTGCCTCCTGCTGCAGGCAAGGGTGCGGCCACCGGCCTGGCGGCCCCAGCCAGCAGTCTCCAAGCCTAGTAGCAGGGCACAGAAGGACATACAGCAGGCCCTCCACCAGCACTGGCCGTGTGAGCGATTTCACGGTTGAAGGAGTGAGCCGGAGCCAGGAACCTCAGCTCTTCCCTCGCTCTTAACCAGAAGATTAATTGGTCACGAAGTCCTACATCATAAATCTCTCTCAAGTCCCCTCTCCCTTTTGATGCCTGCCTCCGCTCCCGTTGCTGGATTTTGTCAGGGCTACAGTGAGATAAGAAAAGGGAAACCTCTGGGGGCAGGGAGGAAGAAAGGAGCAGTCCCCGTGGAATCTGGACTGGACCCAGTTTGCCTGTTCTGTTCTCGCTCCGACGTTTGTCTTTTCCTGACGCTGTATTCTCTGCCGAGGCTTGGAGATGCTCGTCACTCATTTGCCGGAGGAAACACCACTCGGTCTCCATGTGCCTACTGACATGCCCTCACATCCTTCTGTGTCACTCGCTTTAGTTATTTCTTGTAGTAAGATTCGTCTATTGGGAAGGCACGCAAAGACACGCACAAAGTGTCTGTTTAGTTCTTGTAGCTCCCACGACCCCAGGCATAGAGTAAATGCTTGGTTAAGTGTCTACTGACCATACAAAATAAATGAGGTAGTTCTGTAATTAGGGACAACACAGATGAAACCCAGCACAGTAATGTTAAGTGAAATAAGCCATTACAGAAGGATAAATGAGTGAGCGCATGGCCTCACTCACAGGTGGAATAAAACAAACTTGATCTCATAGAAGTCGATAGCAGGACGGTGGCTACAGGGCTTAGGGAAGCAGGAAGGAGGTAAGGTAAGTTACAGCAAAGCAAGGGGCTGTGTGTGCACGGCAGGATCATGAGAGACAAGTCACTGTCGATTTTAAAAAGCAGCAAGAGGGGCTGGAGAAATGGTTCGGTGACTAAGAGCACTGGCTGCTCTTATAGAGGGTCTAGGTTTGGTTGTTTCCAGCCCTCACACAGAGGCTTAAGCTCCAGGTGATCTGAGCCCTCTACTGGCTTCTGCTGGCATTGCACCCAATTGGTGCGCGCACACACACACACACACACACACACACACACTATTAAAATAATTGCCAGGCGGTGGTGGCGCATGCCTTTAATCCCAGCACTCTGGAGGCAGAGGCAAGTAGATCTCTGTGAGTTCAAGACCAGCCTGGTCTACAGAGTGAGTTCCAGGACAGACAGGGCTACATAGAGAAATTTTGTTTCAAAAAAATATAAAAATAAGTAAATAAATACAATAATAAATGAAGTTAGAAGAAAGATTTTCTGATGATTTGACTCTAAGAATTCTGTTTAATATTTGAAGAGCTACCTGTATTATAGTTGATTTTAACATTTGCATCAAACCGTCCCTGCCCTAAACCCTCGGGCTCCCCAGTACTCACAGGACTGGGTCCACATGCGTTAACCACACTTGTAGGGGTTTCCACGGTGGGTCCACTCTTCCAGTCTAACCTCTCTGACAGTGGGGTAGGAGCTGCCTTCTGCGATGTACTGGGTTAAATCTGAAATCAGGGGACCTGACTGCAGGAGTGTTAAGAGAATGCCAGCTCTGTCAGCAAGGGCTGGAGAACATGGGGTACCAGAAACCCTATTCAAAACCTGGGAGGAGCACCATGAAAATGGGGTTCAAACATGACTGGGGCTATGGAGCAAGAATAACACTGAGTCTAGCTTGCGAAAGAAGTGAAACTTGAAGGTGAAAAAAGGGAACCCAAGGAGTGAGGTGTGGACAACAACCCACGCGAACCAGCTAGTGTCTAACCACGACTCTTGAGGACGCTGGTGACGGCTCTGCCCCTGACACTGGCAAATGCTGATGACGCCATCAATAGTTGCCAGTCTATCCAGGTAGTTTCCTTTGGTGTAGGCTCCAGCTAGCCAGGTGCTGCTCAGGATGCCTTCTCCTCAGGCCAAGGGCTTGGTGTCTGCAGATGTGACAATCTGCCCTGGGAGCTTGGGTGATGTGAGGCCACCGTTGGGAAACAAGGTGACCCATCCCAACAACGGGGGTCCAGTTCTGGGCGTGAGGACCTGACCAGCACATTCACCTATCTCTCTATAGGTTCCCTGCGTGGCTCAGCATCCACTGCTCAGTTATACAACAGCTGGAATCCCCTTGGTGAGGCAGGAGGTTTCAGAGTCTAAGGCCGTATAGCAAGACCCTGTCTAAAAAAATCAGGGACTGGAGAGATGGCTCAGCGGTTAAGAGCACTGGCTGCTCTTGCAGAGGTCACATGTTGGGTTCCCAGAACCTGGAGGGCAACTCACAACCATCTGTACCTCCAGTTCCAGAGGATCCAATGTCCTCTTCTGGTCTCCTCAGGAGCCAGGCATGTACATGGTACACAGACATACATGCAGGCAAACACTCATATACATAAGATAAAAATAAAATCTAAAAAAAAAAAAAAGAATTTTTGGTTTGGTATTAGGACAGAACTTCCAATAATTTCTGAAACTGCCCTAAACGCATTTCTGCTGTTTCATATTAGGAATTTATTTGAAGCAATATTCTCAGCATTACTGATTATAAAATCAAAATATTGATCCACTCTGAAAAATGTTGAAGTTCTCTGTGTCTTGCAGCATCAAATATTCAGCCAAGATTTAATTCTTTACATAAAAAAAGATGCACAGCTATTTCATTAGTATGCAAATTAGCTTTTGTCTTGAATAAATGTTAAAGTTATTTATATTTATATACACACACAAAAGAACTGTTATAAAATGAATTTCTTTAGCAATTATTATTTATAAATGTTTGACCTGTGTATCTCTATATACCTGGAGTCATATAAAACTTTCACAGGTGAGAAAGGGTCTTGAGTGGAAAAAGCCTCACTCTAGACAAATGTTTTCTTTCCCTGGCCTTCACAGTGATGTCCAGAGGGCATGGGTCACATCTACCTTGGGGACCTAAGAAATATCTGCTACATTGGACTTGGCAAAAGCAGCTTGGCTTTCGCCTCTGCAAACTCCTAACGTTTCCTAATGTGGAAAATGGGAATAAGACTGGTTAAGAGCACTGGCTGCTCTTGCAGAGGTCACATGTTGGGTCCCAACAGAAGAGGAATAAAACATTCGAGGACCACCGTCCCAAGGGGTTAAACCCCAGCAAATGCTAGTGACCGCTACCACTGCCCTCTGGCATGATCTTTTAAGCTCCACGTGACCCCCTTCCTTCATCTGTGTCCACGGATGTCATCCTTTTTGAAAACTACTGCAGTGCTGATTCATTGTCAATTTCTTCCTTTTTTTTCTCCCCGCCCCCCAAGAAAAGGTCTCACTACACAGCACTGGCTGTCCTGGAACTCATCATGCAGACAAAGGTGGTCTCCAACTCATCAAGCTCCACCTGCCTCTGTCTCCCGGGTGCTGGAATCGAAGGCATACACATTTATTCTTGTGGTGTCAAATTTCATTTTAAATTCACATTCTAATCTAATTTGTACATCTTTTTCTCCAATTTTTGAAATTTGGGGACTGGATATGTCTTTTGCTTTATGGTGGGCAGAATTCGAAGATGGCCCCCGTCCCCACCCTAGAGGTAGGGCATCAAGTGACTGAAGAGACTTGGTCCCCACCTGAAGCTGTGTCAGAAGGACAGTTAACTGATGGCTAAGAGGCCTTCCCTGGTGGGCCTGACTTAATCACATGAAGTCATTAAGAGCCCAGCAGAGTTTCCTAGGAAGATTGATTGGCGGGCATAAGGTACGGTAACACAGGAGAACAGGTCCTGGTGTCCTGCCGTGAAAAGGGGTCACTTGACGATGACAGAGCACACATTTCAAAAAGCTGGAAGAAAGGATGTTGAAAATTTTCATCATGAGAAGTGATAACTGTTTAAAGAGTCCAATATTTACCCGCGATGAACACCACAGTATGTAATATGTATCCAAAGCTTAAAAGGGGGCCTGGAGAGATGGCTTAATGGATAGAGTACTTGCCACACAAGAGTGAGGACCTAAGTTCAGGTCCCCAGAACCTACAGAACACCAAGTACGGTACAGTGTGTGCAGGCAGAGAGTGGAGAATCCTGGAAGCCCCGGGCACGGCCAGCAGCCTCGGGGACACAGCAAAGATCCTGTGCCGTATCTGCAACATGGCACATGTATGTCTGCGCTCACACTCACATATATGCACACATATCATAGAACACACAGAAATGATAAAAAAAAAAACTTTAAAAAATACATTTAAAAAAGGGGGGAAAAGAGAGTAAAACAAAATCATGATTACAACATAAATAAGTTGAGTGTTTTCTGCAGAGGAAGAGACCGAAAGCAAGCACAGGGTGCCCTGAGTCTTGAAGGCAGAGGGGGCAGCAGGGGGCTGCAGGAAGCTGCAGGGGGTGCCGGGGACTGCAGGGGGTGCCGGGGACTGCAGGGGGCTGCAAGAGGCCTGCAGGGGGCTGCAAGGGGTGCAGGGGGCTGCAAGGGGTGCAGGGGGCTGCAGGGGGTGCAGGGAGCTGCAGGGGGTGTAGGGAGCTGCAGGGGGTGTAGGGAGCTGCAGGGGGTGCAGGGGGCTGTAGGGGTGCAGGGGGCTGCAAGGGGTGCAGGGGGCTGCAAGGGGTGCAGGGGGCTGCAGGGGGTGCAGGGGGCTGTAGGGGTGCAGGGGGTGCCGGGGACTGCAGGGGGTACAGGGGGCTGCAGGGGGCAGAAGGGGGTGCAGGGGATGCCGGGGACTGCAGTGGGTGCAGGGGGCCTGCAAGGGGTGCAGGGAGCTGCAGGGGGCAGCAGGGGGCTGCAGGGAGCTGCAGGGGGCAGTAGGGGGCTGCAGGGAACTGCAGGGGTGCAGGGCCTGCAGGGGGTGCAGGAGGCTGCAGGGGGGCAGCAGGGGGCAGCAGGGGGTGCAGGGAAAGGAGCTGCAGGGGGGTGCCGGGGGTGCAGGGGAAGGAGCTGCAGGCAGCTTTTAGGACCTGAGCGTGGCACCCTCCTACTGACAACCAGGGAGGAAGAGGGCTTCGGGAGACATCAAGGAAGCAGGTTCTGCCAGTACATGCTGGAAGAAGCTGGAAGACGCCCTGAGTTTAGGGCCACCAACGCCACACTGCAGCTCTGTGTCACCCTAGTCTGCCCTGCAGAGCTCTGCGTCCTAGGTGGCCCTCCTCTGATGTCTCTGTTTGGAACCATTCTTCTTGGGTACCAAACACCGAAGATCAGCACACACTTCCCTCCAGTGCCTGTTTTTGTTTGTTGTCTTTTGAGACAGGGTCTTACTCTGTAGCCCAGGCTGGCCCTGGTTGCAAAATCTTTCTCAGTCTGGGAATACGCATCTGCCGGAGCAGGAAGTGATCTCCAGTACCTCCTTTATACTCAGCCACCTTACCAAACCTGACAAGTGAAGCGACTTCGTGTGACCACCAGGGAAGTCCCACTGTACCTGGCCTCTCTGCCTAGGATCAACTGCCAATGTGTTTTAACGGAAGATTCCTTGAATAATAACTCCAAGAGCAACATCTTCATAAACCACGAAAAGAATCATCTAAAGCGGAAATGCACCTAGATACACACTGCATATACCCAGTGGCTTCATTTTAGCTGCAAGATGCTAAAATCAGTTAGTGGGATGTTTTACAAACCAACCATCAGAAGAATTTCTTGGTAAAATTTCTTTGCATAATTTTCTATCTCAAGAAGCATATAACTAATTTGTTTCCACATCAATGCAGAAAAAGGTCCTTAGAAACAGTGCTTTGCTGGTTTCTTTTTCTTTCTTTCTTTCTTAATTAAAAAAAAAAAAAAGCTGAGGGGCAGTTAAGAGCAGTGGCTGCTCTTGCAGAGGACCCAGGTTCAGTTCCCAGCGCCCACATGGAGGCTCCCAACCGGCTGTAACTCCAGCCCCAGGAGATCCGATATTCTCAGACCTTGCATGCACAGATGTATAAACATACATGCAGGCAAAACACCCATACATATAATATAAAAATAAATTAAAAAATTTAAAAAGTTGGGTGCTAGGTGTGGGCCAAAGAGTTGGCCCACATTCTTAATCCCAGCTCTCTGGAGGCCGAGGCAGGTTTATCTCTGTGAGTTTGAAGCTAGCCTGGTCTACATAAGGAGTTCCAAGCCAGCTTTGTTTTACACACCCACTCTCAGAGATGTGCCGTGTGTATTAGTATTTAAAAACCCTAAGAGGTCATGATATGATTCTCCCCATTTTTTTAAATTAAAAAAATTTGTTTCAGGGGAGAACTTAACAAGTCCCCACCACCACAAATTGTGCAGTTGAGTTTCCCAAATTGGGGAAATCGCAGGAGTCTGCACATCTGGAGTGCAGTGGAGAAGCCTTGCCCTGGGAACACCACCTTCGTGACCACGGCACCTCCCCTGCAGGTAAGTATACTGTCTTCATTTTTTTAATTTTTCATTTTTGGTTTTTGGAGACAGGGTTTCTCTGGGTAGTTTTGGTGCCTGTCCTGGATCTCGTTCTGTAGACCAGGCTGGCCTCGAACTCACAGAGATCTGCTTGGCTCTGTCTCCCAAGTGCTGGGATTAAAGGTGTGCGCCACCACTGCCCGGCGATTCATTTTTTTTTTTTTTTCCAATGCAACATTTCCCAAACACATTTATCGTAGACCCTCTTCTTGGAAAAACAACCTTTGACATCTTGCCAGAGAACCGTTTAGGAAATGCTGGCCTAAACAAACCTGTCCCTGCCTCCAAGTAAGTACTGATTCCAAAGGCCGCCAGGGAAAGGAAAACCTCAGAAGTCATGTTACTGAAGACACCCGAAAGCGGGAGACACGCTTCCGTCTTCCCTTACAGGCCGCACTGCTTTTTGTTCAGTTTCTAAACAAGTTAATAAACTGAAAAAGGGATTTTTGACAGCTATATTAATTTTACAAAATACTCATGCAGCAAAATGAATATCTCAAGCATTTTCTAGTTTTAACCATTCCATGTTATCTATTCATGCATTTCAGTACACACACACACACACACACACACACACACACACACACACACACACAGTGATGACGACTGAAGCCAGGGCTTGTACCTATGAGGCTGTACCACTGTACCACTGAGTTACATCCTTGGTCCCTGATGAAGTTTATGAGGAAAAGTAACTTAAGTTCATGTTATGAAGGGTAAAAGAGTCGGTCAACGATGACGCACACCTTTAATCCCAGCACTTGGGAGACAGAGGCAGGTGGATCTCAGAGTTTGATGCCAGCCTGGTCTACAGAGTGAGTTCCAGGACATCCAGAGCTGTTACACAGAGAAACCCTGTCTCAACCCCGCCACCACCGCCAAAAAAAAAAAAAAAAAAAAAAAAAAAAAAAAAAAAAAAAAAAGGAAGAAGAAGAAGGAGAAGTAGAGGAAGAAGGGTAAGAGAGCCAGGTGTGGTGGTGACCCACTTGTAATCCCTGCACTCAGGAGATGGGCAGGTGGATCTGTATGAGTTCAAGGCTGGCCTGGTCTACATAGAGAGACTCTGCCTAAAAAATAAATAAATAAATGTGTGAGAATATTATATTAGCTTAGAACGTCTGTTCCTTTAAATTTATAAACTCTCAAAGGAAGCCCGTGTACACGAAATGTGAAAACGAATACTTTTGTTGAAGTTGAAATAGAACTGTAATATTCTTCCAAAAAGGAGAGGTAAACGTCGCATGCTTTAGTTGTGGTTCTCAGACTTCACAGGTTTCAGAGCATCCTGGAGGGAGGGTGACTGTGGTGGGACCCAGAAGTCTGCTTTTGATGACAGTCTGCTCCAGGAAGCCCCCCCCCAGAGCTGCTGAGCTTCTCCTGCGAACCCCTGAAGAGTCTCCCTCAGCAGGCAGAGGCCCCATGCAGTTTCAGTGAGCACCGATCCCCGGGAACATTTCTACAGTTCAAACTGCTAAGATTTGCCGATTTGTTGTAGGTTTGTGCTTGTTTGGTGGTTCTGTGTCTCACACCCTGTGTGGTTCCCCGTGAGGGGCCTGGTGCTGTAGACCCATAATCCCAGCCACTCAGAAGGCTGAGGGAGGATGGCAAGTTCAAGGCCTGACTGGGCAATTTATCAAAGACTGTGTCTCAAAATAAAAAGGAAAACGGGACTGGGGACAGCCCGAGGAGACTTCTCCCCTGGCAACTCCAAGGCCCTGGGTTCAATCTCTGTGAGTGAGAAGGAAAGGGGAAGGGGTAGCGGAGGGAGAAAGTGGGGGTGGGGGGAGAGAGAGAGAGAGAGTGTGTGTGTGTGTGTGTGTGTGTGTGTGTGTGTGTGTGAGAGAGAGAGAGAGAGAGAGAGAGAGAGAGAGACAGAGAGAGAGGAGACCGAGACTTCTGGGAGAAAGGTTGAGCACACAGACCTGAACCGACGGAGGAAGCTGGAACTGGAACTCCAGTCTCACGGTTTACTCTGGCTTCCCTAAAGCCACGTGATAAACAGTTGGCTGAGTGGACGGTTTGGATGGGGGAACTCAGACCCCCCCACCCCACCCCTGCTGCTCTCATGACTGCCTTCCTCACCCACTCTCTTCTTTTCTCCTCATCTTCCTCCTCCTTTTCAAATTTGTTTTTGTTTTTCGAGACAGGATTTCTCTGTGTAGCTTTGGAGCCTGTCCTGGAGCTCAGCTCGCTCTGTAGCCCAGGCTGGCCTCGAACTCACAGAGATCCGCCTGCCTCTGCCTCCAGAGTGCTGGGATTAAAGGCGTGCGCCAAAACCGCCCCGCAAATTTTTTTTTTTTTTTTTTTTTTTGGTTTTTTTTTCGAGACAGGGTTTCTCTGTGTAGCTTTGCGCCTTTCCTGGAACTCGCTTTGGAGACCAGGCTGGCCTCGAACTCACAGAGATCCGCCTGGCTCTGCCTCCCGAGTGCTGGGATTAAAGGCGTGCGCCACCACCGCCCGGCCCGGCAAATTATTATTATTGTTATTGTTTGGACCAAAATATCTCTCTGAGCCCAGGCTGGGCTCAAACTCATGATCCTCCTACCTCCATCCATATCACTATGCTGGGATCCAATACTCCATTTAGACTAAACATGAAGATGGCCTGTAGCGTGGTCTTCTGAAGTCAGGTGGGTTCAAGTCCTGGCCCAGTCGCTTACCGAATAATTTAATGTTTCCTAACATTTGCTCACGAGCACAAGGCTGACCGGAAGCCATGGATTGCCGAGGCTATCCCCTGTCTCAGAAGAGCATCATGCTGCATCTTGTCTGCTTGGGGAAAGATCAAAACTCAAAATCTGAAGTATGGCTGCTTCCGCGCACCGATCGCCTTCACGCCATGCTGAAGTTGAGAAACTGTTAGTTGAACCATCCTAAGGCTGAATCCACCTGTGGCATCGAAGGTCAGACCTTTGGCAGGCTGGAGCGCGCAGGGCTAAGAAAGGAAAACTTGCCACCAGGTAGATGGAGACGATGCCTCCTCACACCACCCTTTTGATTCCACGCTTTCTGAATCTGCTCCTTTCACCGGCTTCTGCCGAAACTCTTGGCTTTCTTGACTTTTCTTTTCTTCTTTTTCTTTTTTCCTTTTTGCGCACACAAAGGAACACGCAGGCAGAGTCACTGTATTCTTTAGCTGTTTTCACATGCCGAGTCCCTGCCTTCTGAATTGCTGGTGTGACTCAGAGTTCCTGCTGCTGCTGATTCACCCTTTGTGTCACAAGGGCGACTGCGATGCAGCATTTCTTGAGAACATCCTGAAGTCCCTAATGCGCTTGGAGCTGGGCCCTCTCCTGGCCCATTTTTCAGCTCCTGCTTCAGACTGCTGCCAAACATGTGACCGTCCATCACTCTCCCTGCTTCTTCCATAAGCACCTGCTTCTCAGGGGTTAAAAGGCTACCTCAGGAGCTGAGTGGCTGAGAGCATTTAATGCTTTCCCACAGGACCCAGGGTCAGGCCTCAGCATCCAAGTCAGGTGGATCACAACTGCCTGTAGCCCCAGCTCTTAGGGATCTGATATCCTCTTCTGGACTCTGTGGGTCCCTGTGCACGCGTGTGCACGCACATACACACACATACTGAAGACAGAGGATGCACTGCACTCTTCCTTCTGGTATTTTATTTCAAACAATTAAGCTGTAGAGTCTGAGTTTGGACACTGGTGTCTCTGATGGTCACGAACCTGAGTGTGAGGGGACACCTGTGGCCTGGTCATCAGGCTGAGTGTGAGGACACCTGTGGCCTGGTCAACAGGCTGAGTGTGAGGGGACACCTGTGGCCTAGTCAACAGGCTGAGTGTGAGGACACCTGTGGCCTGGTCAACAGGTTGTGAGAGGTCATCGATTATAGGCTGTGCTCGTAATTTATCCATTTAAAGTGCAAGCTTCAGTGTTACGTACACTCAGAGTCCACTGACAAATCAGTCTGGGCACGTCATCATCCTGAAACCTACGAGCAGTTGGTGCCCATCCCTCCCCTGCCAGCCCCCTAGCAACCATTGATTTGCTTCCTGTCTCTACAACCCTGACTGTTCTGGATATTTCTTGTAAATGGAACCCTAGCACGTGATCTTTTGTGACTGGTTTCTTTTGCTTAGCATCATGTTTTCAAGGCTCATGCTTGTTGCCGAATATATAAGCAATTGCATGATTTTCTCATTTAAAGTTGTTTTTAGACTTATTTTTATTGTATGTGTATGGGTGTTCTGTATGTATGGGCACCGCATGCATAGAGTACCCGAGGAGGCCAGGAGAGGGAATCAGAATCCCTGGAACTGGAGTTACAAGCTGTTGTGAGCCACCATGTGGGTGCTGGGAATTGAACTCAGGTCCTCTGCGGAGCAGGCAGCGCTGCTAACCACTGAGCCATCTCCCCAGGCCCCGTATCCTTCTCTTTCATGATGCAGATACCTATATTTAGCCACTCACTGTAGGGAGCCAGTGAAGTCCTAAGTGAAGGTGTGTTGTCCAGCAGGGTAGAGCCAGGTCAAGGGCCCCAAAGCCTCAGACCCACGGGAGTGGCAAAACTTTCTCTGGCCGAGATTCAGAGGGATGGCAAAGCCTTCTTCAGGTCTGAGTGTGAATGCTGACAGTGTCAGAAAGCGTCTCCTCCCTCTCTCGTTTCCGGCCTGAAGACTGCTCCCCCACAGAGCTGCTCCTACTGAGGTCAGCTAAACCTGCCTCCTTGTTCGGCTGTGTATAATGACGACACCAGGTTATCTGCATGTAATAACACAGTCTTCATTCAACTGTGTATAATAACCACCCTGAGCTTCCAGGGTGCTGTGGCTCCTCCATCAGAGCAAGCACAGGCCACCCCAGCCCAGCTTTTCTGTCTGTCTGTCCTTTCTTCATCCCCTCGCTGCCCCCAGTCAGGGTTCCTGGACCCAAGATGTGTAAAGGTGCGGCGAATCATCACCTGATGTGGTTGGTTATGGATCATGGCAGCACACACGCATCCATGGAC